TTTTTGCAAAATAGTACTATTTATAAGTTTTTAATTAATTAGTTAACATGATTTAAAGTTAATTAACTTTATTTTTCTCTCATTATATATACCACAGCCATTTTTAAATAATATTTTTGATTATTTATTCAAAATCACAAAAGTCATCAAGCAAGCAATAGATTAGATGTGAAAACTATAAATTATTAATTACTCTATATCTTTTATACGGATAATTCTCTTAATATAGTTGAATAAAATACAAAAATTATCTTCATAATTGTGCTAATTTGATATTTTTTTCACTTTATCACCTCTTCTAAAAAATCTATATAACTAATATTATTTTTTTTGTTATGATATTATTATAATGCAAATATTATGTAAATTAAAAATACTTTTTAGGGAGATTGCTTTAAAAAACTTACAATTTTTTCAAAATTTTAAGAAAATTAATTATCTAGTATAAAATTTAAAGTTAAAGGTATCTTCTGTTATATGAGCGAGTTTAATATATAAAAAATGCATAAATCATCTATGTAGAAATGTGATTGCTTTTAAAACTAAGCATAATACTTTATTTTAAGTCTGTATTTGAGAGGGGCTTTTGGTATATTGATAGTGGCAATCAGTTGAATACTTGGAACAGTAATGAAGGATAAGAAACTTTTTTTCTAATATTCAAAGCACGGCATTAATTTTTTTTGTAACTTTCACTTTAACAGAAATAATAGCAATTTTTTAGGAATTGATATTGCATAGGAGTAAATTTTTACTCCATCAGATCCTTAATACGCTACGGTTTAATTGATGTATGATCTAGCATACCCTAAGACTCATGAAATCAAAGTAAAATTTTAATATAATCTATTTATTAGATGATAAGAGCATAAGAATATTGTTTTTTTTTAATTTTACCTTTTAAATGGATACAAAAGCAATTTAATGGATGGAATAAAAATTTGATTATTTAGGTTGCTGTATAAAATATCCAATTTAAATGTTTAACTACTTCAATTCCTATTTGAAAGATCAAAAGTACTGATTGATATTATTTTATATATTCACGCTATAAAATATTAGGTAAGTATTTAAAGAGGCTTTTTTCAATAGCTGTAATAATATTTATAATTCTGGCATTTATTATGGGATTAATGTTATATTTATGTGTTTTTTTAATTATCATTAAGAAAATAAACTTAAATTTATTCAATAATCTATAGTTAATCAATTTACAATAAGAATTATGAAAAATTACATAAATCAAATCATTCCATCTCTTAGTATTGTCTTATCTAAATTTACTTGTATGTTTCGTCCCATGTCACTAAATATTCTCCATCATTACTTAAAGTACCAAAAATACAACTATTTTCTAATTCTATTATCTATTCTAGCCTAAATTCAACACATTCCTTCTGCTTATTTTATTTTAATACTCTTATTACATTAATATTATTGTTATTTTTATTGATAAGGATATTTTTTTTTAGATTATATATTAGGGAAAAAAAATAATAGCATGATATTCCTCCATCTGTTATTGAAAGTTGATTACTTTCGAAAAATAATTTCTAATCATTAAGAGTGTAAATAAGTAATTTTGAATCAATAATCTATTCGGGTTAGAATACAAATATATTTTGATTAATAAAGCTTATACGATAGCCATATTAATCAACTAATATTTTTTGTTTCACAACCCAACTTACATAATTATTGTTTTTAACTTATTCAAATATTATAATCAATTAATATAAACCACATGAAATAACTGTGTTTTCTTATTCATTAATAGATAATCCACATAGACAATCATTATGTTCTAGAATAGTTTAAGTACATGAAAATTATTTGTTAATACATTGCCAAAATTTGATGCTATTATAATAATTTGCATCAGTATTTAAAATAAATTGATAAGCAATACTGCTTTTTAAGTTATAATTATTTATATAAGTTCCATACCCTAAAATTTGTACTGATCTATTCTAATGTTATTTTTCAAAAGGAAAACCATTATAAGATAAAAATAACCTTTTAATTTGAAATCCTATAATCTACCCCTTATCTTAAGTCGATTGATTCAAAACCCTAAATTAAATTATTTATGGATTTGCCAAAAATTCTATAAAATTTTTTATAAGTTTAAGTGTTTCCTCTTTCGTATGTTGTAAATACTCAAAAGGTTCCATAGTCGTATTTAAGAAGCCTAGAAATAGTAAACCTATTAACTATGCAATAAACAGAAAAGAATAGTTTAATAATTTATTAATGAAATTTCCCATAACATCTAATAATTATAAAAAACGGGGTAAAACTTATATAAAATAATACATTATTACTCTGATTTATTTGGAAAATGATTAATTTTTAGAGTCCTACGATTCCTTTAATCTTTTTTAATAAAATCACCATTCTTATGCTAAAAGCCATCTCAAATTATTTCTAGATTATATTCGAAATAATATATTATTTTTGTCGGATAAATTTAAATGCTCATAAAAAGTCAAACTCATACATTGTTAATTTCTGTTTACCAACCCATGTAAACTTATATCCTTTATTTGCTATTGATTATTTATAAAATTGATTAATGTGATAATTTTATTGTCTTATAATAAGGTGATTTATAGCACAAAATTAAAAAAAGAAATGTTTTTAGATGAGATTAATAGCATTAAAATATTTGATCTAGCTATCATTTTTAACACCTCCAAAAGGGGACATATTCATCATATATTTTGATGCACTATCTTAATAAAGAATTACCATTATAACGTTTCCTACAAGGATAGTTAGATGATTAACAACCTAGGATACAATTTTACTTAATATTATAATAAATTATACGTGAATTACGCATCAGCACAAAAAGTGCATTTTCTAGCGAGATCAAAAAATAAAAATTGGTAATTAATATTTCTTATAAAGGAGATAAATATAGTGGAAATTGTATATGATAAATAAAAATTAGATTATCCAAATTTCTAAAAATATACATGATACACATTAAACTAA